CCCCCCGGGGGGGGGGGGGTCTCACCCCACAGGCTTAGGAAAAAGCAAGGCCTGGAGAGGCTGAGCAAGGTGTTTCCAGGTGTTTCCAGACGGCAGGCCCTTCTGGCCGGTAGGGTGGGGCTGAACCACTTCCACCTCTGTAGCCTGAGCCCACCTTGGAGCCACAAAAGTGCCACCCTGCCAGGATGTCTGCCCTGGTTGCATCAGCAGGGAGCAGCTCGCCATCCACCTGGGCCTCTCCTGTCACCAGTAATTAATTCATTAATTCACTCCCCCCTCTCTTTGAGACACACTGAAACAGGAGGCAAACTGGGCTCAGAACTCACTCTACCTCCCAGCCTCAGGGCCCATGAGCCTTCCTGGGGAGTACACAGAACAGACCTCCTCTGAGAATTATGGTCCTGTGTTCCAGCACTTAGAGAACTGGCCAGACCCTGGGCTGGGCTCTGGGGGCATGGAGGAGTAAGTCTCTGTGTTCCTAGTCCATAGCCCAACCACCTAGGGCTCATCTCTGACTCCTGTCAGGCCAGAAGGGTCTTGGGGCCCCAGCCTGGCTGCAGGGCCCCAGCAGAGGGCTCACCTTAGGGGGTCTCAGTCCTGTGGGAATCCGGCCCCGTAGGACCCCAGCCTCTGGGGCAATGAGATGTTACTGCCCTCAGGACAGCTGTAGGGACACCTGAGCTCATGGGCATCAGACTTGCACATAGCAGGTGTTCCTGAATGACTCTGCAACCGAGCCTGGGCAGGCCTCAATGGTCTTTGTTTCAATGGTCCAGCTGAGCCCCCGCCCACACCTGGGTACAGCCCAAGAGAAGTCAATGAGTAGTATAAGCCACTGCCCTGCGGCTGTTGCCAAGTGATGGTGAGCTTGCTGGGTATGCGCAAGGGCAGGGTTCGATGCCCAGCTCTGCTCTGTTTTCGGGAACAGGGTGGCTGGCTGGAGGAGGGCTGCAGGGACGGGTATGCAAGGTCTTATTCCCCAGGGCCCTGAAGGCCAAGGTTGGAGACCTAATTCTGGGGGCTAAGAAAGTGTGCTGTGAATCAGTGAAGTTGGGTAAGAATTTCTTCTCCCTCTCCTCCGCTCGCTTCCCTCTCGCCCTCCCCTCCCATCTCCTTCACGCCCAGCCTCCTGTCTAGGAGCCTAACAACCTCAGATCACACAACCAATTGCAGTGACACCCACAAGCCCAGACCATCATTGGGTCCCTCTGTGGGGTCTGTGGGGCCCAGATTGAAAACCCTGGTGGGGAAGGAATGTCACACTGTCAGATACCACCCCCTTCCCCCAGAGGGTGGGTGCTGGTCTCTGCATGCTGTTCTATTGGAGAGGGGGCAGGGGCTGAGAGAGTGTCTCTCCGCCCTGCCTCGGAGGGCTGTGACACCCCTAGAGGCTGCCACCTTGGTCTACCTTATGCCAACTGGGTCTTTACTGAGCTTGCTCTGCCCGGGGGATGTAGGGGGCGTATTATATCAGATAATTCCCACACTAGTGCAGTGCGCAGACCAGCTCAGCAGGGAGGAAAGGGAGGCTCAGAGAGGTGGGGTGACCTGTTTAGTCTCACATGGCCACTGAACCACTGAGACAAGAACAAAACAGGGCTCTGCCTCCCAGTGCCAATGCAGTGTGGAGGGTCTGTGAGGCCTCTCGGGAAGGCGCCCGGCGCCCAGCTCAGCTGAGATTTATCCCTGTGTGCCCTAACACTTTGAAAATTGGTCAGCTGCCTAAGATGGTAGCTCTGCCACTGGCAATAAAACTTGAGAAACTGTAGAGTGATATGTGGGACTTCCCTGGGCCGAGCTTCACAGGGCGGGGCACTGTGGCCCACCCTCTCTGCGGGTCAGCTGGGGACTGCTGTCCCAAGATTGCAGGGTTATTTTTAAACACCGAATTTGGCAGAGCTGGGGAGAAATGCAGTGGGGCATTGAAGAGAAACAGACCTGGGGAGATGGAGTAGACCCCACCGCCAAACACAGATCTGTTTTCTCAGCCAGGCTCTGCAGGGCAGGGAGAGAGGGGGGACAGTGGAGGGGCTTGGCAATGGCCTGAGGCCCCGGCACTCAGAAACCTTGGCTGCTTCCTGCCATCAGTCCTCAGTCCTGTGCCCACCTGCTGGTCAGGGTCAGCATATCCCCTCTGGCCTGAGGGGTTGAGGTCAGCCAGGCCTGCAGGTGAGGCCCATTTCCTGGGTCTTCCACCTTCTGTAACCACACCCCCAGTGACCTGGGCAAGCAAGCTGTGGACTCAGTTTCCTGGGCCCTAGTAGAAACAGCCCCAAAGTCAAGAGGTCACTGCAGTCTCCAGACTCCCCCACAGCAGGAGGCTTTCCTACATGGCTGCTGGAGAGCTCTTGAGGGAGGAGGACCCCAGCCTCACCAGTCAGTCTGTCGCCCATGCAGCCTGGTTCTGTCAGCATTCCACAGTGCCCATCAGACCACTCACCCACCTCAGAGGTTCAAGTCTTGCGCCCTCCTGGGGCCTGAGCTCACCACCTCACCACCTCACCAACATCTGCAGTTTAAGCTTCAACCTCCGGGGCTGGGTCTTCCCAGGCAGGCACTGTCTCCCAACTCAGGGCCATTTCCCCAATCCTGCAGTCAGGACCCCAAGGCTCATCCAGAGGAGTCCACCGCCAGGTGTCTTTTCTTCCCAATTCTCACCCCTCAGGGCATCCCTAAAACTTTGCTCCATCCAGATGTTCCACCCAGGCAGGAC